TCCCACCCGAGACGCTGCTAACACTACAACTTCTGAATTTTACTCCTGGGTCTTCCTTGCCCCTGTCGTGTTTTGTTCTCCTATGGAGTCTTGAAACTTAAGAAAGAAAAGTATCCCTACCATTTGGTGTGGCTTCAGAAATATCAGACTGCCCATCTTTAAAGAAGCTCTCCAGTTGTCTGGAGTTTTCCTTGTGGCGCTGTCTTACATTTCCTGCCATCACCACAACCCTGGCAGAGTCAGTGCCCAGTGTGATTGGTTGTCTGACAACACCACTGTTTTTCCCACAGGTTCCACTGCTGGTCTTGAGCATCTCTGAGATTCAAAATCGAGTGCTGGAAGAGGTTCAGAACTTGAATTTTGTAAAGGACAACAGCTCCACCTTTATTGAGAGGAAACTTAGCTTTGAGAAGAAGAAGCCCGCCCAGATTCTGGTGAGTTTAGCATTGTCTGTGACAGTGAAGACTTCATCTCTTTGCCTTGTCCAAATCGTAGCACATTTCTTCCCATACTAATCAAATCATCCAATCAATGTGCCATTTGCTTATTAAGCTTTATTCTGTTTTTGACAGTGAAGACTTCATCTCTTTGCCTTGTCCAAATCATAGCACATTGCTTCCCATACTAGTCAAATCATCCAATCAATGTGCCATTTGCTTATTAAGCTTTATTCTGTTTCTGTCTTTTATGCTATAACCTCCATAAGTGTGATGTTTGTTTCTGTTTCATACATGATAGTTCCCTAACATGCCAAAGCATGTGCTTGATCATGGTGGATACTCAGATTATATTGGCTGGGATTTTAAAGAGATAAAGAGTACAGTGCACCTCCTCATTTTCAACCTATTTCATCTCCAGAGATACAGTAGTTTTCTTAAAGTCACTTAGTCCCACAGTTTGCAAAGTGTCTCTTTGCAACTCCTGCCTTGTTTACCCATAAAAAGATGCACACAGGCAATTCACTGCATTAAAATTATAAAGTACTTACTATGCAAGAAAGTAAATACAAAGTAGTAAAATATCACTCAATAGTCAGGAGTTGTTAGAACCTCTGCCTTCTTTAAACCTTTTTTAAAAAAATTACCTTATTTATTTTTCCTGTGTGTGTGTGTGTATCTGTCTGTATGTTGCACACACACACACACACACACACACACACACACACACACACACACACACGGGAGGGGGAGAGAGGTGGGGGACACATTTGGAGGTCAGAGGATAACTTAGGATAACTGGTTCTCTCCTTCCACTCTGTGGGTTCTGGTGACTGAACCCAGGTACCAGACTTTGAGGCAGGTGCTTTTATCCTCTGAACCACCTTGCCAGCTCCAGAGCCTTCTTAGCCCTGGTTGAATTTTCTTTCTTTTCTACAATACTGCCCTCAAGTGCTTACTCGAGATCTTTTAACTGAAAATCTTAGCTGAATACAGTTAGAGCCTGACACGAGCATCTGCCTGCAATCTATCCAGATTGGTACATAACTTGTATAGAGAAATAGTTTTAGAGGAAAATCTCTATAAACCCAATGAGGATGTCACTGTATGCCTGCCTGAACCATGTGACTCCTTCCTTTTCCCAGCCAGAAGCGCCACATCAAACTGACGATCACCGCTCCAAACTGCTGTCCACATACAGAGCAGAGGAAATCTACCGAGCTAAGCGCAAGTGCAATGCCACCCAAGAGCACGACATCAATCTTCTAGAAGGAGAGTTGGTGGCGGTCCTGGAACAGAAGGATCCCCTGGGGAGTACAAGCAGGTGGTTTGTTGACACAGGATGTAAGTTTCTTGTCTCACAGAACTACTACTGCTCTTCAGGTTGAGATTTTCCCAGGAGACCCTGCGTGTTTGTGGAAGGTCTTACATGTAACCCTGGTGCTTTCTTTTTCTTTCTACCAGTTGTAAAAGGCTACGTGTATTCCTCCTTCCTAAAGCCCTACAACCCAGCGAAGGAGCAGACGGCGGATGCTGAGAACACATTCTGTGATGACGATTTTGAGAACCTCAGCCTCTTTGTGTCTTGCCGGCCAGCGGGCGACAGTGTCAGGGACACTCCTGAAGACAGCATAAGCGACAGCAGCTCATCTCTTAGTGGTACTGGTGGGAAGTTTGAGACAAACGGTGCTGATGTTGATAATTTTCAAGAGGTAGATGAACAGGTAAGGCTTTAAACCTTGAGGTAAAATATATACTTGGCCACTCAGATGAAAGAAGGTCTAACTGCTCACATTGAGAGGAAATGCTTAAAGGGAAACTGCTGACTTTGACATCAAAAAGTTCTGAGTCTGCTAGCACATACCATCTGTGGACTGTTGAGCCAAGGACTTAGTTATCTAAACCTGTTTCCTCAAACAAACAAACAAACAAACAAAACAAAACAAAAAACCCTGGACTGAAGAGTTGGTGTTTTGACTTCTTAGTTATCTAAACCTGTTTCCTCAAACAAACAAACAAACAAACAAACAAAACAAAACAAAACAAAAAACCCTGGACTGAAGAGTTGGTGTTTTGACTTGAGACACTATGCATGCCGAACTCATGACAGAATAGAGATCCAACAAAATCACAGCATCAGAAATTTCTTTTCTAATGTTCCACCATTGGAGAAAGGAAGCTGAGCTGTGGTCATCAGTATCAGGTAGGAACTTGTCTCTGAAGCCTCTAGAACAGTGGTTCTCAATCTGTTGGCCGTGACCCCTTTAGGGTTAGGGGCCACCAAGACAATCAGAAAACACAGAAATTTATATAACAACTCATAATAGTATGAAAAATTATAGTTATGAAGGAGTATCAAAAATTTTATGGTTGGGGGGTCACCACATCATGAGGAACTGTATTAAGGGGTCACAGACTCAGGAAGGTTGAGAACCCCTGCTCTAGAAGCAATGTCTTCATTGAGCTGAGTAGGACTTGGACACTTCATCTCTTATTAATGCCATCTGTTATACATGAAAGCTTTCTAACTTGCCTTTCTGTCGTTGAGCCAATGCAAAGACTACTGGCATAACACCTTCACAAATTGGTAAGCTAATTATAACATAAGGTTCATTTTTGCTACCTCATAAAGTTTCAGTATATTCAACTATTAATCTCCAAGTAGTAACCAACTAATTTTCTGCCTTTTTAACTTAGTAATTTCCATTAGCCTAAATTTCTTTTCCTTTGGGGTAGTACATTTTATTTTCAGAAAATTAAAATGGAACAATAAATTAAATGTAGGGTCTTTATTACTCTCCCACTTAGTGATCCTCTTCAAAGACATCATCCCATGTGTGATTTCAGTATATTTTATGCATACACAAATATATATACATAAATAAAACTATTATATGTTACTTTTTTTTTTACAGTTAAACACAACTCTGCCTTAAAACAATTCCCTGAAATATCTTTAAAAATTTTTGTTTAAAGGCAGAATCTCATGACATGTCCCAGGCTATCCTTTGACTTCAGTCCTCTGAGTGGTAGAATTATGAACATATGTTGTCACAACCATTTTATAGAGTAAGTCATGTATGTAACTACTAACCCAATTAAAATATTTAAGACGTTTTGTTTTTAAAATGTAAAAACAATAATGCCAGGAGCATCCTTCATCTCTTTCTGCATGCTTTTCTAAATACATTTGTAGGGATATTAATAAAAATGTTGAGGGGTCAAAGGTTACATAGAAAATCTTCAGAGATTGACACACTGCCCTTCATAAACAGCTCTGACCTGCATGCCATAGAATTCACTTAATTTCAGTGTAAAATCCAGTGACTTTTACTCATAGTTACAGAATTGTGCAAACCAATGCTAGAATGTTTCTTTCATGCCCAAAGATCCACTGGATTCATTTGCACTCCTTGCTTTTTCCCATCTCCAGCTTCTGGAATTCACTAATCTATTTTCCATCTCTGTATTACATCTTTTCTGTAAATTTCACATGGGTGGAATTGTATATGGTGCTTTGTACCGGCTTTTTTTCCTTTATCATGCATTTTATAATCATATATATATATATATATATATATATATATATATATATATATTTAATGTATATTTGGCAATATCTATTTTGATTCTATTGTGAGTAATATTGCTTTGGACATTAATGTATGAGTCTGCAGATTTCCCTTCTCCTAAATAGACATTAGGAATGGATTTGCACCCTGGCACAGTAAATTTATGTTTAACTTTTAGAGAAAATGGCAAATCATTTTTCAGAGTGCCCATTCACATTTTACGCTTTACCAGGAATGGATGAAGATTGTTGGGTCTTCCTTGGCACTACTAGTTTATATTATAACCCGCTGTTTCTTTATGGTTTTGATTTTCATTTCCCCAAGGACTGATGCTATTTAGTGTCTTCCATTTTTATTACTATTTCAGGAAAACAGGGAGGGGAGGACACGGTGGAGAGGGGAAAGCAATAAAGGTATTTATAGCATTTAGGTGACCTTTTTCTTTGTTTACTTTTGAATTTGTTTTCCCATCAGAACTACTTGTGTACACTGAAGATTATCTTCCCAAAATCCCGTGGTCTATCTTTGTCCTCTCAGTTACAACTATGGCAGAAGCTCCACAGCACCTGTGGCACAGTTCGGTTCCTTAACCATCCTTTTATGACAATAGCTTCAAACTCATCCAAGCCCTATGGATGACGACTCTAACGTCTACAAAGGGAGAATATCTTAGTGACACCCCCCCACAGGCTCTCAGGCGTGATTTAGTCTCCGAGAAGCCCTCTTTCCTGAATCCTCATGTTTAAATCCATATTAAAACATTTTTATTAAACCTACAGCTTACTTCATTAAAAACTTACTTGCTCATAAAAATGTATAATCATTAAATGAAGAAAATAAAAGCGTTCTTCTAGAGGGTGAGAGAAAAGGATGGTATTTTTCATGCAGTGTAATTATTTTGGCTTTGGAACTAATACAGTAAATACTAATACAGTAAATACTAGTTTTAAAGCTTTTTATTTTTGGAAAGGAAAATTAAAATATGATATGAATTTTATTGTTTATAATTGGAGAATTGGGATGGAATCAATAAGATGAGATTGCACAATGCAGGGAAGTCAAATAAAAATTAAATGTGCAAATGTGTAGAGTAAGAGACTGCTGAGGCAGCAGTGGTGTCACAGGGAACAGGACGAGGCTTATGGGTAATACTGTGCGTGAGAGTCACGATGTAGTTGATTCTAAATCAAATGCTGGGGAGAGCTGGTCTGCATTGCCAGGCTATCATCGATAAAAAGCAATGCAGCAAAGAAGCAATCATTGAAACATTTTAATAAATAACAAGGAAAAAAGATATAGGATTATGATTCATATTAATAACATTTTAATGAATGTTTCTGGAAAAAACATACACACATTTAAAGTTAGAAAGTGTAGACTGAGACTTGAAAATAAGAAATCACTGAGCTTTTAAATTCGTGACAAGCTGAAAACCTCTAATTTTTCATCTAACAACAAAGGAAATAAAAAGAGTTAGAAGACCAGAGACACCACTCTCTTTCAAAGCAGACATAGCTCCATTTTGTATATATAAGGTATGCCTTTATTTAGCATGTTATATAAGAACTAGAAACTGCCAGCTTGAATCAAATTTGGGTCATGATATTCTAAAAGTGTTATATAATTTTAAATTTATGATTTCATGAGAATTTATATTTGTCTGAGCTATATTTTTAACCCAGGTATGATGGCACACACTATTAATTCCAGTACTCTAGAGGCTGAGGCAAACAAATCTCTATGGAGTCAAGGTGAGCCTGGCAAATTCCAGGCAAGCCAATGACTGCATAGTAAGACTTTGCCTCAAAACAAAACAAAATAAAAAGCAGCAACAAAATGCATATTACAATAATAAATATATCCAATCAGATTTTATTTTCCCTTTGAGGTAATTTGTGCCAAGGTGAAAGACTACAGAGGTGTTGAGGGATGGGACAGTAGCTAATTCATCCTTCTGAGAAATCCATGCCTGCACTGGGCAAGAATATTTATTATTGATTCAAATTGCAAAGATGACCACACTGCTGATTCCAGCTCTTATAGATTATTCTGGGACTATAATTTAGCACGTCACACTCCTGGAAGCTTTTGCAAAGCAAATGAACCACACTAATCTTGTGGACCTAATCAATATTGTCACTTCAAAACTACGGAACAGTAGTGACGGATGAGGGACCACAGAGCCTTTCTCCAAGAATACACTGTGTATCTCTGTCTTAGAACAAAAATTTGAATCCTAAATTCCTAAAAACAATGGATCAAGCACAGGGCTGGGAGTTAGAAGACATGGGTTCTAGCAGCACTCTGTCATTAGCCCTGTCATTAAGAATGTATCTAAGTCTTAACTGGGAGGGCTGTTGAGGATACAGCCCATGTAACATAAACTGTCACAGGCTCAGTAAAAGGTATTTATCACTGCTGAAGATTGATTAAGAATTTATAGCTCCTCCATTTTGTTTTCTTCTTTACTTCCAAACAAAGCAATCCGATTCCAATAATCTGTTTTGCTGCATGTACCACAGTCTCTTTATGCTCTCCAGACCTGTTAGGTTAAATAAACATTTGAACACTACTGTGCAGCATGGCTTACATGAGAGGTGTACTTTGGGTCAGTCAAACTGTCGTTCACATAATACCATGTACTGGATGGCTTACCAACAGTAAAGATCCTCTTAATTGTAGAGGCTGGAAGTCTGAGATCAAGGCGCCATTTTGTGGGGTCTGCTGAAGTCAGCTTTGTAGTTCATGGATAGCACCTTTTAGCTAGATTTTCACTTAGAAGAGATGAGGGTCTTGCCTTGACTTTATAAAAATCAATCCCATCCATGGAGGCTCTCTGTCTTTAAGACCTACTAACTTCTTCCTAAGTGATACCTCATTATTACTATAGAATTGCAGGGAGTGGAGGTGAGGTGTGGTGTCTTCTGACCCTAGCAATGTAGTTCCTTTCCTTGGATAATGCCTCAGGCTCTTTGTTAAGGTATTAGTCAATGGAATCTGTGTTTTATTGAGGCAAGTGGTGGTTTAAAATTTACAGAACCAGTTTAATCTTGGCCCTCTCACTTCTCTGTCCTGTCTCTTTTCCAGCTCAGTGCCCTCAATTCATTTCTCACAGAACCTTGATGTATGAGCCCTCAATTTTCAATCCTTTTTGCCGACTGCTTTTCATGCATCCACCTTTGTGGATGTGACACACTAACGTCCTTTGTTAACGGGCCCCTTATGAAAGACCACTTCCTTCCAAATGCACCTCACTGTTTATGTGTAGCCTATTGTTGGCGATGGTAGCTCTGTGGCTTTGTTGTTTTGTCTTCATTATTCATTATTGCCTTAGCTGAGTTATACAGTTTCTGATACAATTTTTTTTGCAAAGTTTGATGAAATGAATGTGCAAATGTTTTTGGTTAATTGCATAATTTTCTATCATAAGGAAACATTTTTATTAGCAGTCTTATGATTTTACTGGAAGATGAATTAAACACTGATTTGAGGTCTTCAAACTTATATAACTGTGAAATATCTTTCAAAGAAATTATTTTGTAATTCTAGGCATACATATTCACCTAATTTTTTTTGCATGTGTGTCTATGTGTTTGTATATGTATGTGTGAGTACAGTTATCCTCCAAGTCAGTATAGGGCAATGGATACTTTGGTACTGGAATTCCTGGAACTGGTTGTAAAACTCACAAGTGGGTGCTGAGTCCTAAATTGAGTCCTTTGCCAAAGCTCATGTACTCTTAACCACTGAGCCATCTTCCAGCTGTAATTTTATATTTTAAAATATTTAGTATGAATATCTTCTGTATGGTTATTTCTCATAAAAATGCTATTTTAATGACTGCAAATTTACTTACTACGAGGGTCTATAATTTATTTTCTCTAACTCTTCAACACATTTCCACATTCCTCCCACTTTTCACTCTATACACTGAAATGTCTATGTACAAAAACAATCTGTCTGAGTTTCCATCTGTGAAAGATATTCTTTAGAGACTGATTCAAATAATTAATGACAAAAAGCGTTTTATAGAAACTGCCATTCAAGCATGTCAACTCTAAACTCCTTCCAATAGAAAAAGAGTGTCTATCCCCAGTCTTCTCTACCATGGATTTGATATGGCATAGCCTACCAAATCCATCAGGAAGAGCTGGACTGTCTGACTGCCAAAAACTAGGAGCACCTTAGCCTCACTTCTAAAAGGGTAAACATTTGTTTAGTTTAATGTTCTGGTTCCAATGATGTCTTTTTTTTGTTGTTGTTTTTGCTTTTGGTCTAGGTTTTCTATGCAGTCCATGCTTTCCAAGCACGGAGCGACCATGAGCTCAGCCTTCAGGAGTACCAGAGAGTCCACATACTTAGATTCTGTGATCTAAGTGGGAATAAAGAGTGGTGGCTAGCTGAAGCACAAGGGCAGAAGGGGTATGTGCCAGCTAACTACCTTGGGAAGATGACATACGCGTAAGAAAATATGCAAAAATGACATTCATTTCCTGACAACTTGCTTATTGACTACCTCATAAAACAGATGTGGAAACTTCAAACCAGAAACTGTATGAACTGACAGTGGATCATGTTTTAAGGAAAACCTTGCTTCCTAATAGGGCGATTTTATTGATACATAAAGAATAATTGTTGATGGAGATATTACCAACAGAAACAGCAGAGTTAAAAGCCTAGGCTCCAGCTACATATTTAAAGGTAGCAATCTTTTGAAAAGATAAAGTTTTGTTTATCATCACCGAAGAGTTGATCTAAGAATAAGGTTTTTCACTTTATTTTAATATTTTTTTAGTGGACTTTGCCTTAAACATATTTTTTTACACTTCTTATTTGCAAATATTCATGTTTACATGCACACATATATTCTGCAGTTTATACATGATGAGTTTAATACAGATTATACAAATATGTAGCACTCACAGAATAAACTAATTACACATAAAAATGATTAGCTGCCAATTAGAAATCTTTAATATGGGGGTCCGTTTTTTTAAACACATTTTGAATTGAAAGGGAAACATTATATATGGAGAATATCCAAAACTTATTAGAAGTGTTCACACGATAAACATGGCTTTAAATGATATATATATATATATATGTATATATATATATGTATGTATATGTATACTAATTTAGTGTAACATAAAGAGTATGCATTGCTAACAAGTGATTGAGGTGGGTCAAAGTGGGGCAGCGTGGTTCCAAGGTCCCTGTTCCTAATGCCTGCACCACACACACTCCTTGAGTGCAAAACAGTGGTGTGAATCATGGACCTGGAGGAAACCATTCTTCTCTCTGATCCACACTTCAATATTAAGCAGCTTTTCAAAATTAGGAGCTTTCAAAGACTTCCTCATGAGCCAGGGAGAGAAAAATGAAGCGTCCAGACTTACTATTCGTTCTTTTATTGTTGTGATTAAGCACATTTGAAAGTGGAATTGCTTCAAAGCTGTCCTACATGATTATTGATGAAGCTTTAATGAGGAGACGTTTCAGATCACTCAGTGATTCGGAGACGCAGGAGGAGCGTGCATCCTACTCAGAGTCAGGGTGTAAATACCTCACTGGGCAGTTTTTATGCAGACAAGGCACTGAGGATTGCATTAGCTCTCACCATGCTCAGGGCACTGTGCTTTAATTTGGGTACTGCCCAGAGAACCATCTGTCCTCCAAAATTTCAAGCATATTCATTCAGTTAAGATATGTACCTGGATTAAAACAGTTAGTGGGACAGACACCGGGGTGAAATGAGCCCGGGAGAATGCTCACAAGAAGAGGAAAACAACAATAGTTGGATGAAACAACTTTAAAGAGAAAGTTTTATGAAGACCAAACTGTCTGGCATATGTACACTAGGTTAGCATTTGCTAAATACCTTCTGTATATCAGGAGCTCTGGCAGATTGGAGGGTATTAGCACATTTCAAATCAACGCAGTGCCTGGCCATGTAAAGTTTACATTCTAATGAGGACAGTCCTATTTATAGAACTAGAACCATGATGACCACTAGCAATAAACACAGTGTGTTTCCAGGACCCCGTAACACTGAGACTTCTAATTTTGTTTGACTTTAGTGGATACTCATTACTAAGGTAGATTTTAATTGCCCATAAAAATCCAAATGACACATTTTAAGATTTCTTACTCTGAAAGATTGGATCCATTTGATGCACAATATTATATTTATTACTGAGCAATATCTATAACAAAATAAGAGTTCTACTTCTCCTAGTGTAGCTGACTGGATCTCATACCCTCCTCTCTTATATAAAGGAAAGTTTATACTACTACTTAATTTACTAAGACAGCTTTATAAAATTTTCCTGACATTGCATTTGCATATTTTCTAATCTCATACCCTCCTCTCTTATATAAAGGAATGTTTATACTACTACTTAATTCACTAAGACAGCTTTATAAAATTTTCCTGACATTGCATTTGCATATTTTCTTTTACAAGTAGGATAACAAACGATTTTCTAAAAGATGTTAGAGACTTCAAAATTTTCTTTTAATTGCCCCATGAATTCAGTTTTAAAACATAAATTTGTTTGCCTAAGGTTAAAAAACAAAGAAATCCAAAGTTGCTACATAATGATATTATGAGAATGTCCAAAGAGACATAATTTATATACTGCAGCGTGTACCTGAACACGTGTATGCGACACTGAACTTCACACATACATAATAAAATATTGAAATAGCACAGACATGCTTTTCTGGCTGAAATAAGTGATTGGATGGAGCATCTTTGTCTACTGGTGTGGGTCTACGAATGATGCTTCCTGTCTGACTGTTGCAAATCTACACCAGGACAATCAATACATCAGTTACCTCCAGAGAAAGAACCATTATGAAGCCAGTGACTGCAACTTTTCTAGCATGACGGGCACGTCACTGTAAGTGAGCTCTGAAAAATTACATAGTACCTTCATTTTCTACTTATTCCATGTAAAATAAAATAAATTGTGATTTTAAAATTAGACATTATTTTACTAGGCCCCAGAAAAGGAAATTTGCATGCCTGTTGATAGGATGTTTATATTCAAACAGTTTAAAAGAAATTGTTGGTTGTATCAGTATAATTACAACCAGGAAAGCTAATCATCTTGTTATATTCCATTTTAAATTAATATTGTACAGAATAGGATCCTCTGAAGTGGGAAATTATTTTTACCAAGATGAAGAGGAAGCTTTTGTAGCTATTTTTTATTTTTAAAATAAATAAAATTATATGCATCTTATTTACATTTTATTTTGAAATGTACATGTTCAAAACTACTAGTGTATATAGTAATAAAATGTAGTGAGTATAAAATATACATCTAGTAATATAAAATTATTATTGGTGTGGAATCATGAAAAAGTCACAAAGTTACTATTGGAACATTGTTTATACTTCAGAAAAATATCTTGAATTTGAAGGGTGGGTAGAAGCAAAGACAGATACATGGTTAGTCACAGTAATGAAGCAATTGGTGACAGATGTTAAACATTCAATCATTCCAAAATATAATTCAGATTTTGAGAAATTGTTTTTTAAATGCCTGATGCTATTTGGGATGAATATAGTTTGGGTGATTTAGAAAAATGAGTGTTTCAACTACTGAATCATGGAATTAAAAACTCTCGGATTTTCTCATTTGCTTCTGGGATTTTTTTCTACCACATTAACCTCAGCTGTATGAAAAAAAGGAGAAAATCTTAAGATATGAAAACCCTGTAAGGTGTTTGTAGTAACTATAGCTTCCAAATATACCACTGCCCTACTAACTGGTGACCTCACACTCAGCATTCAGACCTCACAAAACTCAGGCTGAACGAACTTACACATTTATATCATGGTCATGAGGATGTGATCACAGTGATCACAGTCCAATGCCTAGACAGATATTGGACTTGAAATTCTGTAGGAACTGATCCCGTGTAAAGGAAGCAACTCTTTAAAAAAAGTCTCATTTTGTAGTTGCTTCCCTCTCTATAAACACAGATATAAAAACTCATCACTAAATTATATGTTGTCTATAAAGCTACTTCAGTACAAACCTTTTCCTCAGGGCTCCTGGATCTCAAGCTAAGATGTCTTTAGACAGCTACTGTTAGAAGTAGGAACATTTGAATATTTTGAAAAATAACTCAACACTTAAGACTAGAATTGAGATCCTCTTGGTCAGGAATCCTGGGACTATATTCTTACTAAATTAGTTTTGTTTTGTTTAAACTTCCACTGAGGCATCTGAATGTATCCATCACTTTTCTAATTTATTGTGGTTTTTTATAATTATTGTACTAATGAAATTTCAAAGTGATGTTTCCTGTGTGATCTGTGATCATAATGATTTATAATTTGTAACTAATAAAACTACTACCACAACATTGTTAAGAATTGGAACCATCTGACTTTTTTTTATTTTTATTTTTTATTTTTTGGTTTTTCGAGACAGCTTTGGAGCCTATCCTGGCACTCACTCTGGAGACCAGGATGGCCTCGAACTCACGGAGAGCCACCTGCCTCTGCCTCGAAAGTGCTGGGATTAAAGGCGTGTGCCACCAACGCCCGGCACCATCTGACTTTTAAATACAGATGTGCTTTGACTTATAGTGAAGTTACATCCTGACACACACCATGGGTTTTAAATATCCTGACCCACTAACCATTAGAGTTCAGCACGTCAGCACTACACGGAGAGTACCAGCTGCTTGCTGGCACGATCACATGAATTACTGCAAGCTACAATCCGCTGCCCCTGCCCAGAAATGAGTACTACACGAAGAGTACCAGCTGCTTGCTGGCATGATCACATGAATTACTGCAAGCTACAATCCGCTGCCCCTGCCCAGAAATGGAAGAGTATTATAAGATAACTAGAAATGCAGATTCTACTAACTGTATACCACTTTTACAATACTTAAATTACAGCATTATAGAACAGGGGCCATCTGTATTAGGTATCTTCCATTTTATATCATCTGAATTGTGTTTTATAAAGTAGAAAATGGACAGGCTGGGGGTTGGTGGCACACGCCTTTAATCCCAGCAAAGAGTCAGAAGCATGAAGAGTTCTTCGAGTTTGAGCCCATCCTGGTCTACAAAGTGAGTTCCTGGATAGCTAGGGCTACACAGAGAAAGTCTGTTTCGAAAAATTAAAACCAAACAAAAATTTAGCAAAGAAGGAAACTAACACAAAAGGGGTTGACTTGGACAGGCTGGGGGTTAGTGGCACACGCCTTTAATCCCAGCAAAGAGTCAGAGGCATGAAGAGTTCTTCGAGTTTGAGCCCATCCTGGTCTACAAAGTGAGTTCCTGGATAGCTAGGGCTACACAGAGAAAGTCTGTTTCGAAAAATTAAAACCAAACAAAAATTTAGCAAAGAAGGAAACTAATACAAAAGGGGTTGAGGTCATTATGACTATCATTATTTCAGTGCCATTTCTTCTTTTTCTAAGTGACTGAATTCTATGGTTAATCTCATAAAGTACAATATGAGAACCGGGAAAAAGAGACACTGACCAAAATGTAGTTTGAATTGTCAATCCTAAAAACTTACAAGAACATTTGATATTGTGGTTTGAATGTGCAACGTTCCCCACCAGCTCTCGTGTTTGGTTATTCTGTTGCCATCTGGTGGTGCTTTTGGGAAAGTTATAGCATCTACAGGAGGTTGAGACTTGCAGGAGGAAACATGTCACTGGGGGAGGGCTTTGAGGTTTTGTAGCCTTACTGTACTTCCTGTTCCTGTTAACTGTCTGCTGAGACAACCTGATCAACTGGCCTCATGCTTCTATGTCATGCCTTCAGCATCACGATGGATTCTACCCCTTGGAAACTGCAAGCCAAAATAAACCCTTTCTCCCTTAAGTTGCCTTGGTCAGATACTTTATCACAGCAGAAGAGAAAACTAAGACACCCAGTCATTTGTCCACCCACTCACTGAGCCGACAGAGAGCTGTACATTTCAGTGCTATTCAAGGAAAAACAAGCTCTTTCCCTCTCACATAACCCAAGTAGTGCAAGAAATACTTGTTTTGTTATTCAAATAAATAATCAAATAAACACATACTATTGCTACTTTCATAACTGCTTCTTGCAGCATACTTTGCAATGAGGGGAAAAAAAAGGCCTAAGAGTTATTTAAGATAAATTCTATTATAAAACATATCCCTTAAAAAATCAAAATGAGTTCGGCCCCTTTACATACACACACTACCTATACAAAGAATCATATTCACTGAAAATAAACTAATTCCTAAACTCATTAAAATTTCCAAGAAATGCCACAAAAAAAAAATCAAAATAATTGCTTCTCTCAACTCCAGCACACTTTCTTTGATAAGGTAAAAACTCACTTCAAATGCTAATGTGTAAACTATACTAAGCATCATTTCTTTAAAGTCTTCAAGATAGTGAGTTACAGTAACTAATAGCTGTTGACATAAGCTCATGTCACATAATTTTGTTAAGCCAAAACTGCATTTGAACTATAAACAACAACTTTTTTGAACTCTTTATAAGGGGGATTTGGAGTTTTTACCAAAACAATGTTATCAACAGAAAGGTGTTTCTGAAAAACAACTACAAACAGATTTTTAAGCATGTAAATAAATATTTATTGCATCTTCAAATAATGGGTTTATTTCAGTACTGGATTCTAACTTATGAATAAATTAATGCCAATATTTAATGGAGTAGTTTTAAGTCTCTCCATAGAAAAAGACCAAGCTTAAAAGTTTTATCTTTACAAAGACTATTTATCAATTTATTTTAGACTAACGATGTAGGAAACTGAGGGATAAAGGAAGATGTTTTGAGACTAGATTTTGTGGCACACATCAAAAGTGATAAAACAATTCTACTCAGTGAATATAGGAAATTACAAGACTCAGTTTTGGGAAAAGATGAGGTATTTGTTGGCTATAAAAAGGATGCTGCACTTTGCTATATTTATTGGTCTGATACTGAAAGCATTGTATTCTTTGTTGGAATATATACATAAACTGATTGGCAACTAACTCATTAGCTTACAAGGCCAATGACTTGAATCACCTCATGTAGGATCACATTATGGCTAGAGTTCACAGGAGAAAGAGGGAGAGATTTCCCCATAAGGCAGACAGCCAATTATAAAACACTATATTGAGTCATCCCTGTCACTCATAAGGTACTTTATAGCTGGAGAATTAAATCTTGGGGTATTTTGCCAGGTGAACCATTTCTTTACATCTGCATATGCCATCAATCTCCTTAAGTTCTCAGCATAAATCAGTCACTATAATCACTATCTTCACACTTTATGAAGTTATTAAAATAAAAATGCTAAACAGACTGAAACAAATCACTCCAAGTTTGGCTAAATAATATTAGCATTTTAATGTAACAATAGAGATTTGATCATCAAGATTTTTTAATTAAGTTACAGTATATTACATGTTTGTCCCCATAGGGATTTTTTTTCTTTTATTAATCTTTAAAGCAATATGATATAAAAACCTATTTGGCCACCTTACTTCTTGAGTTTCTTTTGGGCAGCTTTCTTCTTGACCATCTGTAATCGCTTCATGGCGTTGAGCTGTGATTCCTGTGAAGTTGGCCCTTTAAGCGACGCTGAGGGGCCGCTGCTGGGCTCCGGTGTGGTTTTGCTTGTGGCACTTCCACTGGGCCCTGAGGCAGCACTGCTTCCATTCCCACTCACCTGCCCACTGCCCCCAGGAACTAGACTACTGGGACTGGGAAGACCCGCTTTGCTGACATTATCACAACTAACCGAGCGACTCAGGCCAGTCTTGCCTAGGGTTAGAGGTGGAAGTGGTTTTAATGGTACAGAGGGGGAAGAGCTGTTACCAGAACCTAGTTTGGAACCTAGTCCACCTTTGGATGATGTTGCCAGACTAGTCAATCCCACAGGCTTCTGGTTAGCTGATGAGGCAGCAGGTTTTCCACTATTGTTTTGTGCTGTTGAATTCAATTTTGCTGTTGATGGACCAGCTGAAGATGTTTTGGCTGCAAAAGCTGCCCATCCAGTTAGGCCGCTAGTTACTGAAGAGGACACGTTGTTACCAGAAGAATTTCCTGAAATAACCGTGGGTGGCTAAGAAAAAAAAGATAAAGATAAATCTTGCATTAGACCCAAATATAATCAACACGTGTATGATATCTTTGAATGTAAATATTTATTCATATATAAGAAGTGATGATGTTAAAACCTGGACAATACATTAAAGTTAGGTCCCCATGTCTGTAGTCAGGAAGGATGCTATACAGCTTGTAGTTCCTGAATGCCACATTGCTTTAATGATTTCAAAGAAAATACATGAACTTCTTTGGGGGAACTAGCTTTAGATTCAATCACAAATCATAGCAGAGAATCAGACTTAGTTCTTCAAGTCACTTTTGCTACCCACAAAAGTATCACCTAGCTTATAACACATCCAAATGGAATGTATTTTTAATGGACAATAACTGTTTGCACCTAAGATATTCAGGAAAAAAATACCTAAGTCAAAGATTCAATCAATAGTTATTTACAGTTAACATGTTAAAGGAAACAACTATATACGAATGCCGAAGCCACTTAGAATAACCAAAATGCCACAAGAATTTGAACATCTACTGCACTACAAAACACACATGTTTAAACTCTGAGGACACACTACAAAGAGCTCACAAATGCAGTTTCATGTGCGTTTCCACTGAAACTACAGTAACAGATCCCCACTTTCATACAGACAACTGACAGCTACCTCCTGGGCTGCACTGTGGCATTTTGGGGCAGTCTGGCATGCTCCTAGAGGATTTGTAAGACTAACATTTCAGCCTCTGATCAACTTCCTACCTGAACTAATGAGATATAAGTGACACTGTTCTAAGACATATGATTTTTTGTCCACTTTTATATTAGAAAAAAGGCTCTTTGTGCAAATTATTTTTGAACCAATTGTATAAACACTGTCTACTTTCATATTGAGAGAATTTTCCAGGGTCTCAAAGAATACTCAGAGTTGAAGGCAGACACAGTGTTAAAAGGGAATACACAATATAGAAAAATAGTAATATAATACTTAGAATATCTAATTATTTTAGGATTAAACTATTAGGAAATAGGAAAACACCATTAGCTCTTTACAAGGTTGCTTTCAATAGTGTCTGTATATAAGCACTTTTAACCACTGGAAAAGTAATAAAATAAGAGTGCTGTGGGGCCTTTATTTGATAAGAGGAGGTAAAATTTTTGTTCACATGTTCTGAAAAGCCACACATTTTTATAATAGCATCATATAATTATTTTATGATGTCCTGATTAGGAAACCATCTTATAAACATAAATCCCTTTATTGATCTATTTTGAAAGATCCATTTTTTTCTCCTTTCCTTTCTATCAAACATAAAACTGTTTGTCACATGGCTATGTGATGCTTCATTAAAACTCACCAAATAAAAAGACCAATGCTTGATGAAAGATAAAGAAAATAAAGTCTGTGTGTTGAGTTCTTGATTTTAAGGACTGTGTTGCTGCAAAGAGTGAAGATGGTTTAGAACACAATACAGGATTCAAGATGTGAAAAGCACAAACTTGGGAAAACTAGCAATGTCTCATATCTCAGTGCAGAAAGTCAATTTCTGATATAAATGCTCCCTCCTAGCTTATTAAGACAGACTGTCTTCACTTCCAACATGAGTCATTCAAATCATAAAATTTCTCATAAAACTTTTACTAAGCTGACTACCTTTAGTCAGCCAGACTGAGATTTAATGTAGATGAAAAGGAACACACTTTACCTTGACTTCTGCTCTCTTGAAAGCTAGGAAGGCTGTTTCCTGTTTAAGTTTGGTTTCTGGTTTCTTAACTAATGGATCCTTGACAGCTGGGGCCACAGAAACAACAGTGGGAGCTGGTTTCTGTGGGGGCTTCTGAGTTTTCTGAGCCTAGAAAAATCAGAGGGAAAAATTATATACAAAATCTTTACTGAGTAACAAAAATTTATTAGAGAACTAAAGTTACTGAATGGTAGCAATAGTTCTTAAAAATACGATGGTGATACTGAAAATAGAACCTACAGAAAAACAATTACCAACATATAGTTTAACAGAATTTATTGGTTTCTGAACAGTAACGGTTTTCAATAAAGGAAAATCACAAACTACGGCACATCTACCCTTTGTTATCCATGTAGTACTGGATTCAGAATCTCTGATGAGTACAAAACCTGTGGACGTTCAAGTTCCTTAGGGGGAACTGGCATAGTATCTGGGCCTAGTGATGTGTGTCTGTACTTGCAGTGCTCAGGGTTGATGCAAGAGTAGGAGTTTGGGAGCAGTTTGGGCTATAAAACAAGTTCAAGGCCCGCCTGATTTATATATCAAGACTTTGTCTTAAAAACTTATGGGTTGACCAGACGTGGTGGCACATGCCTTTGATCCCAGAACGTGGGAGGTAGAAGCACATGGATGGGAGTTTCAGGCCAGCCAGGGCTATATACAGAGACCCTGTCTCAAAGAGCAAGCAAGCAAGCAAGCAAGCAAGCAGAAAGAAAACCTCTATGGGTTGTGGTCTCATTGAGTAAAGAAGCTTGTTGTACAAGCCTGGTGTTCTAAGTTCAATTCCTGAAACCCATGTAAAGGTTGAGGGGAAACAAAACCAAACAACCAAAAAACACCTCCACAAAATTGTTCTCTCTCTCACCAAAACAAAATACCCCTCCAAATAGTTGTTCTCTGTCTCTTTCTCAAACACACACACACACTCTAAAGATCGGGAGATACAGCTCAGATAACACACTTGTCTAGTAAGTAATGTCCCATGGCAAAATACCTCTAAAGATTGGGAGATACAGCTCAGATAACACACTTGTCTAGTAAGTAATGTCCCATGGTTCCATCTAAAGCATTAAGGGGAAATACTGTATTTACAGATAACCTGATAGTAACTCATTTCTAGTTACTAACAGCAGCTATATACTGCATTGCTTTAAAAATAACAGCAGGGGAAACAAGCCTGTGCATGCTTTGTACTGATGCCTTCATGCCCCTATTCCACCAAAAAGTATTTTTAACCCGAGAGGGTGGAATGCATAGAGGCTGCGTTCATAGAAACTGGGGGACAATCATCAATGCATCCAGTTGGCACCACTCATTATGAAGTCCACTTTCTTTTTTTTTTTTTTAGGGTTCAGGTGTAAGTTTCTAAGATACTAAAAGTGGATTAAAAACAACTCAGATAATTTCATTGGTTTTAAATACTGAGTAAGACGGGAAGAATTATTCATGAATAAATAATAAACCTTTGAGGTTTTTCATACTAGTGAATTAAATCCTTGGGAAAAGTGTATAAATATAAGTTTCCATGTTATCTCAGGAGAATTTTATTCATTCTCCCTAAGCATCTTCAGTTTTATTTTGACCACTAACTGATGTTAAGACAAAGCTAAATTCTCTGATAATTTTAATCATTTTTCAGATTCTTAGTGTTTACTGGATGAAACAATCCCAGCTATAGATGCAGCATGAAGCAATGACTGAAACAGTCTTTAGTGTCAAAGAGAACAAGGGCTGGAGCCCTGCTCATTACTTCTCCAGCCGTGTTACTGCAGGTGGAACGTAAATGCCTCAGAGCCTCAGTCCTTTCACCTGCAAACCGGTGGCAGCACCATCTGTTTCAAGGGTGTGTTTATGAGGATGAATTGTGATTATGAAAGAGTTTAGCCTAAGATCTCATAATGTTAAGTGCTGATAATAATAGTTACCATTACCTAGCATATCCATGGGCCTGGCTTTGATCCCCAATACATCAATAAAAATAAAATAAAACGTAATTACTGTGCAGGTTATTGTCAATTTGACACAACCTGGAGTCACCTGGGAAAACAGAAATTCAACTGAAAACTTCGTAGATCAGAATAGCCTGTGGTAGAGTCTGTGAAAGATCCTATTGGTTAATGAGTGATATGGGAGGGCTCAGCCTGGGGGGGGGGCAGCACCATCTGTAAGAGGGAGGGCCTGGGCTGTATAAGAAAGATAGTCGCACATGACCTGGAAGGAGAAAGAAGCCAGGAGACAGTATTCCTCTGTGCACGGTGACATAGAAGGCAGACGTGGGGCGAAAGCAGAGGGGCCTCATACATGCTTTTACATGCACACACCTCATCATATAGACAATACAACTTCATTTTGGAAGGAACTGAAGGCCACTGAAGGAAATACAAATAAAATGAAGTATCTATTCTAGATGAGTAAATCTAAGCATTATAAAGAGCAAACCAGATCTAAGGGAAATAAAGAAACCTCTTACAAGGCTATTGAAATAGAAGTAAAGAGATCTGTAGGTTAGGGAAGTAAGAATGAAACCAACAGATGTGAAGGATGTATGATGTAACACAACTAAGTTTAGCAAACAAAGGAGTGAGAATTACGAAAGACATCAAGCATAACATCTACTCAGGCAACTGTGGGGAAAATCTAGAGAAGAATTTTAATTTAGGGATATATTTAAAGATCAGTAAGATCAAGTCAGATACAGAAGATTAAATCATGTACATAGATTGATGTAAGCTAACTTAAAAAATCAGGGAAGAAAAACAAAATTGTGTTTTTCACCGTAAGAGAATTACGGTGAAATAATAATAAAACATTTTGGAAATTTAGGTCTTTCACTAGTTATTTCTTTTTAAAATTACCAATTTTTAATGGATTGTCAATGCTCTGCAATGTGTCATACTGTTGTTGTATGGCATGCAATTCCAAATTAACAGGAAGAAGGGAAGGCTCGTGAGCCTCAGGTCGTGACAAATGGTCACATGCTGGAGAGAGCAGGAACTCCGAGAGTCCACCTCAACAAGACAGAAGGAAGCAGACAGTTTCCAGCCATGGAGACGCTGACCACTCACATTGTGTGAAGAGATATTTGGACCCTAAATCTACCTTTACACTGTACAGGAGCTCCAGGAGTTTTCACCCATGTTAGGGTGGGACTTCTGGTGCTGTAGCTGCTTTGTGTCATCCCTCCTCCTTATAATACCCTCACCAACATTCCTGTTAGTAACCCCGCTAAAAACAACATTCACCATAGTGTTCACCATAGTGGTGAACAGTGTTCACCATAGTGGACACTGGTGCAATCATTACACTGTCATGAACTCAATAGTCATGAGAGTGAGTTTGAGCCTGCGC